GCCCAACTCTTTAGATTGTAAGCTCCATGCTACTGGTGACCATCTTGCCAGCTCAAAGAGAATGCTGCCTGAGGATAACGCCAACACAGATGACAGCTAAATAGAGAAGGAGATGGAGACAGTTGGAGACCAGATGATGTACTGGATGTAACCATGCCTTGAGCTGATGTAACCCTGGACATTTCCTTTACATGGGCCTAGACTCCCCCTTTCTTTTTCCCTTAAGAAAGTTCAAATTCAACTTTTGTCATCTGCAGCCAGAAGTGTTTCAACTAATCCATGCCAGAAATTGTATATCATTCTTTACAAAATATGATACCAAATTAAGAAATGGGAAGCATCAATTTAAAAACACAACAAATAGAAGGAAGACCAGTGGAGTACAGGAAGGGGAACAGGGGAGTGAGGAGGGGATGGAAAGAGGAAGTAATGGGGATTGAAATGGAGCAAATTATTTTCCATGCATGTGATGATGTCAAAATGAAATAAACCCCACTATTAGGATAACTATAATGCAGTAATAATAAAAAAAATTAAAGAGAAGAAAAATAAATGGAAAATAGAAATACATGCCTTAATGTTATCATTAATGGCTAGAAATAGTCGTTGTTAGTGGCTGGAAATAAGGGTGCAGGCTGGAGTGAAAGACCAGTATGGTTGTGCTTCAAACTCTCCACAGTTATTGGGAATAGCTGATAACCGTGCATCAACGAAAGGAGCAACTAATGAGACTTGTAATCTGCATTCTTCTATGTACCCAGAAAAAACTAAACAGATCTTCAAAACGAAATGTGAAGAGCCAGGTATGGTAGCACATGCCTGTAATCCCATTGATGAGGAAGGCTATCATCTGAGGCCAGCCTCAGCAATTAGCAAGATCCTGTCTCAAAATAAAAAGGGCAGGGGATGTAACTTGGTGGTTAAACACACCTGGGTTCAATTCCCAGTACCTAAACAAGAAAAATGAAAGAAATTTAAAAATGAGAAGAGAAAAAAAGTGTAGTGTATGAAATTTGAACCTGACTTCATGGAAAAGAAACAGTTTCATTGACAAGACAGCTCAGATGGGGAGTGTTGCCCTTGAGATTCAAGAAGTCAAGTCAGTGGCAAACAAAATCCTTCCAAGAAATATATGGAAAGAAATGAAAACAGATTAGAGATAAGAGAAAGCAGGAGGGGAGCACTGTGAAGGGACTCCAGGCCTGTCCTGTGGCAGCAATCACAAGAATTTCTGCAGAGCCCAGTGGAGATGAAAACCTAAACCAAATCAGAGCTGGCTAAGTGGATTCCTTTCCTGGAGGAGGCTGGGTCCTAATTGAATCTATAACAGATTTCTGTTTCTGAAGCTTCTCTGATTTCTTCTGTTCCACACTCAGGCTTTGAAAAACTCATTCAAGCTATTTTGTTCCATTATTTCCAGGATTCTAAGACAAGAAAGAATACCCCAGGGTACCCATCTAGAGAGCAAAACAGTTTCAAAAGGCAAAGAATATAGTGAATATAGCTTCTCCTTCCTTTCTCCAGGTTGCCTGAGTCCCCAGAAAGCTCAAGACTGAGGTTTTTTGCAGGAAAGAACTGTATCTGGGTTCACAGGTCATATGAGCTCTCATAGAGAGGGACATGTTCAGGCCATTCCCCTGCTAGCAAATGCTCAGCAAAAGTCATGACAGGGTCTGATCAGTTTGCCACATATAGCTAAAAGAACAGTGCCAGGGTGAGGCTTTTAAAGTCCTCCATCCATTAAGAAATCCACACATTAAAGCATGGATTTAATAGAACTTGTGTTTGGGGCATGTGTGACTGTGTGTGTCTGTTTGTTGGCACAGGAGGTACAAAAGGTATATCAGACAGGGGCCCTTGAGGAAATTTCCTCTCGTCTTACAGAAATAGCACACCTTAGTGAGCTGGTGGGGAGCTACAATACAGCATAACTCTTTATGAGGAGAACCGTAAGCCTGAACTACAAACACAAGTTATACTAAAGGGGAGAGTGATCAGAATGAATTTTTGTGACAATAATAAGCCTTCGTAGTCTCCAAATGCTTGAGATTGACAAGCACACTCTCACACATAGCCTCCTTTACTTCTCAAAATAAATCTACAGGATAGTATTAATTTTTTAAAATTAAAAAAAGTTTTAGTCATAGATGGACATAATATCTTTATTTTATTTATTTATTTTTATGTAGTGCTGAGGATCGAAGCCAGTGCCTCACGTGTGCTAGGCAAGTGCTCTACCACTGAGCCATAACCCCAGCCTGGATAGTATTAATTTTAAAACTAAAATTCTATTCAGAGAGATTGTCTTGCTTCAAGTCACAAAACTGGTAAATGGTGAGACTGGAATCTGAACCTACCAACTTTAAATACGGATACTCTTTTTCTTACACCACACTGCCAGGGGTGCATATTCGCTTCTTGGTTGGTAATCAGAACTGGGCAAGAAGCTCAGGGATTTTGTCTGGAGTCAAATAGGAAGTTCCAGGTTAAGAGTACAATTTAAGCACAGGCCTCATGACAGAAAATCAAGAACGTCTCATTTGGCAGCTATTAGGGTCCATGCTTAGACTTATCTTTGGAACAGGAACAGGAGAATGATGACTACCAGGGGCAGCTTCTTGGTGAGGTGAGGCAACTCACAGAAGGGCATGAGAAGAAGAAGAACAGACCCGGGTGTAAATAAGGGGCCATTGAAGGGCTGGTGCGGGTCCACACCATTGACCCAGGCCACAGCACACCATAAACCTACACTGAGCAGCCTGCTAGGCCTTTCAATTTTGCCTTTGCAACTAAGGGTATCAGATCCCTCCCTCAAGAGTTCTGCATGGGATGGCAAGGACTCAAGCCTCACATAAAGAACTCCAGAGATTCAAATATGCTCTGCTTCCTCTCTCACATTTTCCTCTGAGTTGGCATCAGGAATTCGACTAGACTTAAAGGGATTTCTGTGTATCAAGTGTAACTAGAAAGCCTCATCTATTTAAATGGGGAAGTCTAGAGGAAAAGAGCAGAGCCTTGGACTCTGGCCTGGATTTAATGACATGCCTGTCTCCTCCATTAAGTTGTAAGGACAATACTGGGTCTTATTTGGAGAAAAAGAGGCATTTTATCAACATATGTTAAATTACACTGAAGAAACTAGACCTGGCTCTGAATACTGTGACTTTAGACAAGCTCTTGTGTGTCTCCAAGCCTTTATGCCTTCATTTTTCAAATGGTATTGGAAATTCCTGGCCTGCTGACCTCACATGCTTGTCATCTGTTATGAGGCCCAAGTAAGATCATGTGTGAGTGGCACTAATCATTTCCAGTCCCATATAAACATGAAGGATTAACATGATCACTTGTGAGACACCTATTTGCATGGTGACCCTGGGTTGAGTATAACATGTATTTGGGGAAATTCCCTGAATTATTTTTCTGCTGAAACTTTCACACTAATAAGACTCCTAATAAGAATTTCTGCCTAGCTGAATGGACTGGTTAAGAATCACCAGACCAGAAATGAAAAGTTCTCCTGAGACTGCAAGAGTCTGCTTGGTGTTCTTCCACCAATCTGGGAAAAGATGTTAGATAAAGTAAAAAGAACAAGATGAGTGGAGAGCCTTCAGAAAATCCTTCTGTTCTTTCTGTTGACTGTGGGCTGATTTCAATAGAAATCAGGAGCAGACAATGTGGTTAGTGTTCAACAAAAATTAGCAATAGAGAATCTTATTTTTAAGAATCCCTTAGGTATTTGTCATTTTTCTCATCTAAAATTGCCCATGTTATGGGCTAAGCCAGCCCCTGGATACTCTCTGAGCATCCCTAATGCAGGCCTCTGATTCTTCTATCACAGCTTTCTGCAGACAAGGGCACTGTGGTCCAGAGGACCCCATTAAGTGTCAATGTTCCCTGTGAAACCCTGTACACCAGGTCCCTCCCTAGTACCTACCAGCTGAGCACATGAGCTCTTTGTTTGGAGGGCCATGGGTTGGGATAGAGGTGATTCTGCAGGAGAGGAAAGGCCAGGACGGCAAGGAGCCCAGGGCACCTCTAGGCAAAGGAGATTCCCTAAGAGGGTGAAAATAAGTGTCTCTCTCCAACAAGGTGTTTGAACACAGACCCAGTTCTCCCATTTAGTTTCTCAGCACTTATTGCTAAGATCATATTGACCGACCATCCTCTCTCCTTCCCTTCTTCCCCAACAATGAGTACTTCTTAGGTTCTGGGTATCATACATGGCACTGAACTAGTTACAAAGACAACCACAGGGACCTCGCAGGCTCCTGGGGATGGGAGGGTGTATCTCCAGGTATGCTTACAACAATATGGGAAGTGTTCTCGACAGGCTGAGTGAGCAAAGATTTGTGGTTATAAAGAAGAAAATGACATTGGAGCTCAGCCTTAAAGGATCAGTAGAGCTATGCTAGGTCCAGGGTGTAGGGTGTAGGGAGGGAATTTAAGGCAGAGAATAGAGCTTTGTAAAGATCCAGGAGTTGGCAGGTCAGAGTAGGTGATGGTGAGAGCACAGTGTGACTGTGTGTGTCTGGTGTCGGGGGGCGGGGGGCGGCCTGCAAAGGCAGCCCATGAACGGATGGTCAAGGGTCTTCCCTGCCATGCAAGGAGATGCACTGTGTACAGCAGAGAGAGGGTGCTTGTTCATGGTGGGGTGGGGTACATGTGCAGAGGGATGCTCTGGCTGGTTTGCACCCGTTTACAAGAGTGATTACTAGAACTGTCATGAGCTTTGGGAGCAGGCTGATTCATGTGGGTAATTTAAAATCAATCACATGGGGTACATTTATACCACAGAAACTGGAGAACGTCACAGATCAGTTTTCCTTTCTTTTTAGAGCTGGTTGTTAAATATTTACCAGCATACCTTGGGTATGTGTGTGCATGCACATTATATAGTGCTAAAAATAGAGTTGTTTCAAAAAAAATTACCAAGAAAAGGCCCAGTGACAGCCAGAAAGAGGTGTACCAGGCAGAACTCCCCAAGATCTTAGTGCACTCACCAGTCTCAGGTTCTTCATTGCTTGCGGAAACATGCCTTGATGCAATTGCAGTTTGCCGACTTTCATTACTTGCACACCTCTGACGGGGTGGCTTCCTGGGAAAAAAATCCTGGAAGAAACAAAAGGCAAACAGCATCAGAGCTCTCACCTTCACAGTCAGCATTTCATCAGGAGACTGAAAGTGGGAGCAAACACTGGCTGTGAATGTTAATGAGCTACTAAAAGGAAATTAGCTTGGTAATCCGGGAGAACGCAGCCAGGGGGATTTCACACACTGCCCTCTTCAGCATCCCAGAATGCCGTCTGCATCAGGGAAAGTCAGGGCAGGACTGGAATGCCTCCCTAGGAGATACTGGAGAAGACAAACAAAAACTTGGACCTCTGTATTTATAGTTGGGCAAAAGGCAGGAAACTAGGTACTAATTCTGTCCTCCATCCTTTTCCATTAAGCTCCAGGACTATGGAAGCCTGGAACAGAATATTGGTTTTCAATATACATTTGTTGAATAAATGAATAAAACTTTTCATGATTTCCCAAGTAAATGCTACCACACCTCCCCTTTAACTGAAAAGATCTTTGAAAGAATCTCATTGTAGAGTGCATTGTGGTCCCCACTATTTACAGCACTTGTGTATTTAGCTTGTCATCACACTGAGGCACCCTTCTCCATGATGTGCATGTAGAAGGAACTCAACACATACTTGACCTCTTTCACATTCAACACAACAGAATAGGGTGCTGTGGTAGAACAAAGAATGAGGACTTAGGGCTATGTTCCAGACCCCATGAAGACCCCATATTATTTCAATTCAATTCAACAAGACTGTATCATATTGGATTCAACAGTTCAGTCTTTTCTGCCTCCCACATCCTCCAAGAGAATACTCAGCTCCTGCTGTATATTCGGGATGATGGGACAACACACTGTGTACTGATGTGCTTTTCCCTCAAATAATTTTATCAGACAAAAGACAAGACATTCAAACAAGTTATAAATGGTATTATAGGCTAGAGCTTTATTTTGTCCCTAACTCGGGTGGTACTTAGCATATGCTAGATATTCAGTTCACGTTTGTTGAACTGATACTAGAGTTTATGAAGAGGGAGATGCCTGCTGATTGGGTGGACTGGGGAAGGCTTCATGGAGGAGGGAACAGGACCTAAACTAGCTCTTAAGGATTCAGAAATGCTTGGCTGTGCAGGGAGGAAGGAAGTACATCTCAACTGTTGAAAACACAAGGGCACATGCCAAATGTTGCTTCTCCAGAAACAGTAGGTATCTGCCCCAGATGTCCATAAGACAATCCTAGGAGTCACCACTCACTCAGGGCCTGCCTGTTCCAGGCACCATTCCCCCTGCTCTTCATTTATGGGCCTGTGGATCCCACACTTCAGCTACTGTGTAAGATGTATTGTGCAAATCACTCTCTCTCCCTGAACGTCAACTCTTCCCATGAAATGTGATAGAGAAACTTTTTTCATCCCTGCTCTTACAAGAGTGGAAAGCACTACTGGGGAGGAAAGTATTTAAATCAATAGAAGGTTGGCCAGGCCTCTTTTTAAAGAGCTGAAAAGGCAGAGGGAAGGGGGAAAACAAAGGAGACACCTGGGTCCTGGATTTTTCTTCATCTCTTGAGAATACTACGAGGTCAATCACTTCACCTCTCACCCCTTACAGAATGAACATCATTATCTACTTGTATGGAAAAGATTTTAAGAACCCCAGACAAAAGGCTTAAGCGCAGGACGCCATTATCAGAAGGTAATTGCCCTGGACACTTTCCTTGAAAAGCACACCTGGATTCAGGATTTTATTTTATTGCTATGAATGTGGCATAATTAAATTTAAGGGCCAAAGAGTAATTTTATACTAATAATCTCTCCACTAAGTGGGTGTCTGTCACATCAGTTAGCAGAAGGAAAGAAAATCTTCAGTCCTGTGATGACAGAGAAAGTGGTGCATAATTATGCCGTGACAGGTACCTGCCTCGGTCACTGAAAGATATTAAAAAATGAAGTAGAGTTTCATCTGGAGAGGATGGGTAGCAGAGTCTTCTACATGAGTATTCCTGGATCAGTCTCACAGCCCCAGCAGGGGTGTCATTTGGGGCCTGCTTTGTTTCTGGAGGCCTTCCAGCTGACATATGGAGTAAGAATCATGATTATTTGCTGCATTAGCACCCAAGGAACACTGGCAAAGCTCACTCCTGCTGGGGGAAATTTCCACCTAGGGTGCAGTTTTTTTTTTAAATCAACTTTGCTGTGTATGACAGTGATAAGGAGAGAGGAGGGCCCACAAGTAGTCTTCAACCCCAGGACTGTTAGGAACCGAGGCCAGGCTGAGAGCTGAACCAGAGAAGGAACTACATAGGAATTTCGGTGAGAAGGTGAAAGGAAGGCATCTGTGAAATTCCAGGTTCTGGGCCCAGTGCTGTAAGGACTCAGAAGTCCAAGATGAATCCCTGCTCTTGGTTAACACATAGTTAAGTTGCAGAAATGAGGCAAATTAAAACATGATACAGAGAGGAGCACGAGAGCCACCAAACCATGGCATACATAATGGGCACTTGGGGATCAGTGGGGACGACAGTTATTGGGGGAGCAGCAGAAATGAGCTGGTTTGGACCAGAGGAGGTGAGAGGATCCTGGCTCAACCATGTGGGGAATAAGGGACGGGCTGCTCTGATGACGGTTTGGGAGACTGAATGCAAAGGGGGAGTGAGCACACTGGTCTGAGCAGAAGAGGAGCCTGAGGAGCGGGTACACTGGAGGCCAGGCTGTGCAGAGGCACCCATGCAGAGCCGGGAAGCTTGGTCTCCCCTTGCAGATGAGGCACTAAAGAGGGATATTTCATAGGAAACAAAATTGGAAAAGAGAGCCTAGGAGCAAAGGGACTCAAAGAAGATTAGTGGCAATGAGAAAAGAAAAAAAAAGTTATAGGGCTGATTTAATAGGACCTTGGGACCTGCTGGGGTACAGTAGAGCCAGAGTTGGCTCCAAGATTCAGAAACCGAAATGTTCACATGTGCATGCATACACACACACACACACACACACACACACACACACACACACACAACCCAAGCAAATTGATAATAACAAAATTATTTTGCAAGTCATTCTACTTCTTCAGTTGTTAACAATGATAGCAATCACATGAACAAATTTCCTTTGGTGCTTCTGAGGTGAATAAGTGCATAAAGGGAAAGAGTTTAAACAAGCAGAGACTCCAAGGAAGCACATGTACTAGCTTTAACCTTGACTTATGGGCATGCTGTCTTATTATACAAAGAGGTGGAGAATCAGAGAACTTAAATATCTCAAGTTAAAAAGATGTGAAGAAAGAATACCTGATGGCAAGGCCTCTGTTGATCTTGGTGAGATTTTCTTATGATACAACGGCTAGTCACATTGTTTCATTACAGGTAGCAGCTTTTGGTATTTAGTATTCAGGACTATTTTCAAAAAATCTGATATTAACACATTACTAAACCTAAAAGGAAAGCTTAACCTGCCTGTTTAAGTTGTATTTCAGAGTAACCAAAGAACTCTAGTTACATGAGTTTTAGTGTATAAATATGTAATGGCAATGGAATTAGAAAAATCATCATCTTCATCTCCTGAAAAAATAACTGACCCATGGAAAATGCATCACTAGATGAAAACCACTGGATGAAAGCATGGAGGAGAATTTCACAGTGGTGGGATTAGGTTGTTATCTACGAACCCGCCAACCAATTTAGCATCACTAAAATGGAACAACCAGACATGAAGTGCCAGCTGATGTGAGGAAATAGGAATTATTTTGCATACTATCTACAAAGCATCCATGTCAAAACCAAACCAAACCAAACCAAATCTACAAACCCAAACTCATCTAATCAAGTCCATAAAATCAAATTTCTCTTCAGGAAAAATAACAGAGGAACAAGTAAAAGCAGTCAGCTGCTGCCAACAATGGGAAATTCTACAGAACTTTAACCTTTTTTCAATACAAATGTATTTTTTTTTCAGCACAAATAAATTTTTTTACTTTCTATTTTTTTCATTTGTGCTAATTAGCTATACATGACAGTAGAATGCATTTATGCACTTTGATATATCATATGTAGATGAGGTATAATATCATTTTTCTGATTGTACATGTTGTAGAATCACATCAGTCATGCAGTCATATATGTACATAAGGTAATAATGTCTGTTTCATTCTACTATCCTTCCTATCCCATATCTCGTTCCCTCCCTTCACTCTCCTCTGCCTAATATAAAGTAAAAATGAAATTATGGCATTTGCCAATAAATGGATGGAGTCGGAGAATATAATGCTAAGTGAAATAAGCCAAGCCCCCCAAACCAAATGCTGAATGTTTTCTCTGATATGTGGATGCTAATTCATAATAAGGGGGTGGTGGGTGCTAGGGAAGAATAAACCTAGGATCTTCTATAAGTTAATGGCATAAAAAGAAAAAGATTCTGAGCAAAGAGAACAATCTTGATTAAAAGAGACTTAAGAGACTTAATAACCATATGTAGTAAATGGACCTTGTATATTATAATAATGTTGTATATTGTATATTGTAACTCAAACAAAAGACATTTCTGAAATAATTAAGAAATATGAACATAAAATGGTATTGTATGTATAAGAAAACATCAAATTTTTTCAGAGATATAAACTGAAACATGCATTAAATTATATAATGTCTGAGATTTGATTTAAAAATTTTCATCAGAATTTCTGCTTCCAGCAATGGTGATTTAGACCAACTCCTGCTAATAACAAGAAAAGAAAGAATTTTTTTAAAATAAATCTGAAGGTATCACAGAGCAACTGAGGCATCAGGGTCTTGAAGGGTTTCTTCATGGAAAGACAGATGCTCTGGAAAGATTCACCGCTACTTTTTCCTTTGATAATTTGAAAGTAGAGACAGACAGGTCAACCAGTTGAGTAAGGGTTTTGGTAGTTGCACAGAAAAGGAGACACAGAAATTGGAGCTGACGGCTCAAGTAGGATGAGAAGGGATTTTGGCAAACACTTCTGACTTTCATTTGTGAATCCCAAAGGATTACAATCTAGGAATACTGTGGTAAGTAAGAAGTAGACCATC